TTGGTTCTCATCAAATCATGTTTGCTAGGGCCGTAGCCCATTGGGGGAAGCATGCCATGTTCTTTCATGAAGCACTCGTGGGCAAAAGATGGCCACGAATGCTCCATTCTCATCTCCTCCATGGCAAGGAGACAACCCTCACTGCTGTGCCTGCCCAGCCACCGAAACAAAACCAAGATCCAGCACAAAAGGCAGCTGGGCATAGCACTCCAGGAGTTGGGACCCGGATCTGGCCAATCTTCAAGGGGGAGACCACCAGTGCATGGCGTCAAAGTCGAAGCACGCTCAGGTGCATTTTGGGCCAGAAGCAGCTTGTGCTTCTAGGTTGGGGGCCATCGCTTCTAGGTTGGAGGCCGTCGCGAGTGGGTTGGAGGCCATCGCTACTAGGTTGCAGGCCATCCCTATTAGGTTGGAGGTCATCGCTGATAGGTTGGACGCCAATAAAGGAATGGAGGCCATCATTAGTAGGTTCGAGGGCATCGTTATTAGGTCGGAGGCTATCGCTAGGAGGTTTGGAGGCCATATTCTAGGTTGGAGGCCATCGCTTCTAGGTCGGAGGCCGTCACGAGTGGGTTGGAGGCCATCGCTATTAGGTTGCAGGCCATCGCTATTAGGTTGAAGGCCATCGCTAGTAGGTTGGACGCCAATAAAGGATTGGAGGCCATCGCTAGTAGGTTGGAGGCCATCGCTATTAGGTTGCAGGCCAAAGCTATTAGGTTGGAGGCCATTGCTGTCACTTGGAGGCCATCGCTAGTAGGTTGGAGGCCATCGCTATTAGGTTGGACGCCAATAAGGGATTGGTAGTAAGTTCCGATCTTGAGCGGTCTTTCCCAAGGTGCCGTGCCCTGCTCTTCGGTGGCGAAGTTCGCTTTGCGCTCTGGACGCCGCAGCATCGTGGCACGCTGGTTGGAGCCTGGCCCACAGCGCAGAGCCACAAGGTACGTGTTGCATGTCATTAAGAGACCAATACAGCTCATGATGTGTTGTCAACATTTTTGTTGAAGGTGATTTCGGAGTCTTGCGTCTTTTTTGGATTCGATAGGCATTGGATTTCATGCACCTTAGCATGTACATGCATGTCCATGTTCCAAAAAAACATCCTTGGTGGCCATGAGGTGTGCTGTGGTGTATTGTCCCAGTGAGCTTGATGGAGGTGCTGGTGCTGAAGAATGCCTGCCTCTCTGACGCTCGGTTGCTTTCTGGCGTCGTTTCAGACAAAACATGCAAAAACAGGTTTTGCTTTCGAAACGTTCGAGGCTTGGAAGTCTTGCCCTTGGGCATCAGCGTTTTTGCCATTGATGTGACCCCGACCCGAAACAGCCAATGCTGCTTCGATGACGTGGAATGTGCTGTGGGAGCGCTGCGTGATGGGCTGCCGGGCGTGGCGCCTGTCTCGTGTATAGCGCTGTGGGGACGTTCAGCTGGAGCAGTGGCAGCCTTGCAGTATGCCTCAAAGGAACCATGCCTGTAACTGAGCACATTTTGGGGATTTTTTTTTGTATGCATCAAGGTTCGCTACTAGGGGCTCCTGGCATCGCTACTAGGAGCAAGGACGCTACTAGGGGCTCCTGGCCGTACTACCAGGAACAAGAAGCTACTAGTAACAAGAAGCTAGTAGGTTTTGCCATAGAGGTTTGTCGTTGTGGTCTCAAAGGATCCATCGATTGCTGCCCTGGTGACTGATGGCTGTCCTGGTGGCGATCTCACAACAGTTGCAGCCGAAGTATTGTCAGCTCCGCTTGCAGGACTTTGTCATTTAGTGTCAAGAGCCAATGATTCATCTGAAGTTATGCCGGCAATGCCATTCGCAAGACCTCTGGAGATTGCCAAGTCTTGCTTTGTGCCTGGTTTTTTCTTGCACGCAGAGAATGATGAGATCGTTCCTTCAGAAGCAGCCAAGCAATTGCGAAACGTTTATGGGGGCGAGGCACAGATACAGCTCATGGCTAATTGTTCGCACAACTCTACAAGGCCGAATACCCCCTTGGCACGAACTGCGCTGTTCCTGGCGCGAGCATTTGATTTGGAAAACCTAGCGGTTTCCCAGCTCGACGCATATCTCACGAGATTGGCAGCACCAGACCCAGGAAACAAGATTGACCGGAAAGCTGAAGATTTTCTGGCATCCAAGGAATCTGAGAAGCGTCGATGGGGGCTTTTCATGAAAGCTGTAAATTCATGCCCATCCTACCACGATGTAGCGTTCCACCGAGTTTTGGCCAGGGGTCAGAAGAGCCCAGAGTATGCACGTTATGCCTTGCTGATGAAGCTTCCAAACTCTGACAGTGAAGTGTGTATTGCATGGGCATCAGAGGCTCCAGCTTCAACTAGCGGGGGGCAGCCGAAGAGTGGGCACAGTGCATTTCATGGTGATGTCTTGCACATCTTTGAGCCTTACCCGCGCAGTGGTTCGTGCAGAGGGGAATCATCATAGAGTTGTGCTGCACGATTTGGCCATCAAGGAGTTGTGACATGTCCAGACATATTTTGAGAAACCATTTAATCGGTTCATGCACCAAAACCTGAAGTTGGAGGACATTGCTATTAGGTTGGAGGCCATTGCTGGAACAAAATGCGTGAATTGTAGAGCGGACTTCCGTTGAGGAGTCTGACTTGATCCCACGGGAGAAGGCCTACTGCGTGGTGCTCACTCTGAGCGATTTGGGCCAAATCGATATGAAGATTGGCGGCTTTGGTGAGTCCTCCCTGCACTTTGCCGGCAACAAGGAGCTTGAACCCGGGGCAGTTTGGTTTCTTTGGAGCCTACCATGTTTGAATGGAACACGTTGATATGTTTGATCGATTTTGAATTGCTAGTAGAGACATGTAGAGACGACAAGACTATTGATGGATTGGTTTGTTTGCTGGAAGACTTGGTGTTTATATATATGTTTTTATACAGGAGAGCGGTGCTCTGAACAGTCTCGGACTGTGGTGCGCTTGCTTCGGCGAAGCGCCACAAGTTGAGTTTAAGGCGCAACCACCTTAAACGTGCATTTTGCAATTGTTTGAATCGGTTTTGCCCGCAGAAACCATGAGTTCTGAGATGCAGGACGCTCTTCTTCCTGTGCAAGCCATTCCAGGCCTGAAGAAGCAGGGTGGGGCTGGGGGACATTGAAACGTGGTTTCTTGTGCTGATGCTGGCTACTGGAAGCAACACTGTGCCTCAGTTGTGCGGCATGAGCCCAAGATGGCCAGTGTCGGTGCAGATGCAGAAGAGGCTTGGATTGGTAAGATCCATTGGATTGGACACTTGTGACAGCCGGTGACTCGATGTCTTTCATTTGCTAGGGCAGCATGGGGAGTTTGCCTGCGTCGGCTGCAGAGCTGGCATGGAAGATGTTAGGCTCTCAGCTCCCTGAATATGCAGAGCGAACGAGCCTATGGGACCTACGTGAAGCATGCCAAAGAATTCTTTGTCTTGAGGCAGAAAGCAGCAGGTGCACAGGCCCAAGGTGTGCCTGATGAGAAGAGCACCATCAATTTCCAGGACATAGTGAACAGATGTGAAGAGTCCCTCACACTAAGTATCTTTAAGTCTCTAAGTGCCCAGCGGTGTGTGTATGTGTGTGTCAAATTCACACTCGCCATGATCCACATACAATCATATACGCACAATACTTTGAGGAGGAATCGTTCATCTCCAAGAGGCTCTCAAGCCACTCGGCGAATCAATTCGCTGGCACCCTCAGAGTTCCACAGATGTGCTGAGGCCAAATCTCCAAGGCGTCTGAGTTGTCTGCAGGCACAGATTGAAATGAGTATTCTGAGTGCTCTGTGAGTACTAGTCATGAATACTAGTTGAAAGCGCTTGTCGCTTGTCTTTTATTTAAGACAACTCCCTGTAAAAAAGGGTGCTTTGCGCGAGGCACCTTCCTTTCCAAAGCTGCAGACAGCTTGGCGCTTTCTCTGTCAACTGTCAGCGATGGTGATGACGAGGCCCAGAAGTCTAGAGTTGTATGGCCAGCCCAAGAGCTTCGTGCCAGCCAAAGAGCTGGAAGCAAAACCACATTTTCAGCCAGTTCAGGTTCTGGGACACTAGATTTTCCTGTTGGATAGTTCAGATTTTTAGATTGTTTAGATACTTATCCAACAGTCATTCGCTTTGGCAATTTCGCCTTTGGTTTCTTCAAACATTCTTGTCTCGAGGAGAGCAGCCAGTCCTCTCGTTCGGACTTTGTCCGGAGCCAAACTTGGCCAGATGTGAAGGACGGAAGACATGTGGAGAAGAGGTCCATTCGAGGTTCATTTAGCTTGGTGTTTCACTCCGCTGATTAGGAACCAAACATTAGGCGACCAGTAGGCGACAAAGGACACTCTGAGACTTTTTCTTCTATAGGAGCCACAAGCCACAGAGACAGGCAGGGCATCATGAATGCACAGAGATGTTGGGAAGAACCGCATCACAGAATCCATTGAACAGTCTCTCTTTCAAACCGTCATACAGTCAATGCTTTGGCCTCCAAGGTCGACGTCACTCCTGGGCATTCCAGGAGATGTTGCTACCCAATGGGCTTGGTCTTTGTCGACCTTAAAGCGCTTCCGTTTGATGCCAAATGGCCAAGCAATTTCATACAATCCAAAATCAACATTGCAATGACAGTTATTGTGAATATACTCAGTCATGTTCGCTCCGTCCTTTTCCCTGCCACGAAATCCGTCATTTCACTTTTGTGGTTTTGTTGCAATGGCTTTGGTGCGAAGTGCACTGCCTTTATGTAGCAATTCCACCGCGGTGGCTCCATGCAGTTTTGTGTCATTGGCCTAAAACACTTCCATGACTGTTTACATAGCCATGGGTCACTGTTCAGAATTCATTCATCGTGCCAGCCCACTTTAGAAGATAGCGAAGAGATCCCACGCAAAGCGTTGGCCTCTCGATGATGCGAAAGAAAAGGGACAACTAGCAGGCTGTCTCCAGCCAGCTGGATGGTTTTTTTCACCACTGCAAGTTGAATTTTGACTTTTAAAGCACTCCAGCAGCTGCAAGAGCCAGCCAGGATGGTCTGCGATCCACTCAGCTCAAGGCGGACTTCGCCAAGGGCTGGTTCTTGGTCGCCAAGGCCTGAACGTAGTGACCGGGCCGTAGTGAGCCAAAACATGTGGCCCCTAGTAGCGTCCTTGCTCCTAGTAGTATGGCCAGGAGCCCCTAGTAGCGTCCTTGCTCCTAGTAGTGAGGCCAGGAGCCCCTAGTAGCGTCCTTGCTCCTAGTAGTGAGGCCAGGAGCCCCTAGTAGCGTCCTTGCTCCTAGTAGTATGGCCAGGAGCCCCTAGCTTCTTGTTACTAGTAGTATGGCCAGCACCTAGTAGCGTCCTTGCTCCTAGTAGTGAGGCCAGGCGCCCTTGCTCCTAGCAGTGAGGCCAGGAGCCCCTAGTAGCGTCCTTGCTCCTAGTAGTGAGGCCAGGAGCCC